ACCCCAACCAATGTACGTCGCGAAAAATCTTAGCTGGGAGAAACTCAGGATTCGTTCCGCGAGTCGTAATTGTGCACCGTAAGGTGATATCAAGATAACCACCACCGTCGTCGCCGCCGCCGCCGCCACCACCGTTGCCGCTGCCACCGACACCGTCGATCGAAAAGAGGCCCGTGTTGTACGCGCCCGCGCACACGCTTTACCTCGCATGCGTATTGAACGCGAGAGACCGGTGTCTCTCTTTCTGCCTTCACTCCGCAGCGTATCTGCACGCGCTGCTTCCTCTTCGTTGTTTGCCACTACTGCCGGTTGCGCTTGTCGTGGGAGTCTGTTACTGTCCCTCTTCTCCCTCTCACTTTCTTCTAACAAGATTAATACAGTCGATTTTTCCCTGCGATTTTTTCTATGGTCATATGATTATAGAAGATTACTCTAACCGGTTTCTTTTTTTATTCAATTTTGATTTTTTTATTCTATTTGTAACGCGTTCACAACAAATTTGTGGTATTTCTCTAAAATTGTCCGTTGTGACCCGTTCAAACAAATTTGTATTAATAAAACATTAATTAAACTGGGTATTAGGAATCGCCAGATTTTACACTGCGCAATGATTAATTAATATTAAATTTGATCTTCGCTCATTATTTTATTTACTTTACTATTTGAAATTTGTATATTAAAATTATTATATTGTAACATTATGAGGATATTTATTTTTATTCTTTTATTACTGCAAATCATTTTTCAAACAAACAGCGTTGACAGTGTTTGTTTTAAAATGATAAAGTATGTGATTCTTCTCTTCTAACAATCTCTTTGTTATTTGTCATGCAATCACTTCCTGCGAGTCTAAAACGAATGACAAACCTGTGTCGAAGGGTCGGATAATGCGATGAGGTAAATGAAGTCAGGTGAAAAGGTGAAGCCTTAGATTGATTTTGAATATGTGTAAAGTCGGAATGTCGTTCGAAGTCAAGTGCACCATCAACAGCGATTTATTCTGAAGAAAAATGGAGTCTTCTCGTATTCAGACCTTCCAATCCGCTTGTTGCCCTTTGTGTAGTGCATAACAACTAGCGACCTGCGAGTATTTACTTTGTCTGGCTTTATAAAATTAAAATCGTACAGGAAAAGAAATATCCTGATTGGACCCAAAGGCGAAACGAGATGGCAAATCATCAAATCTGTGTTGTTTTTAATTAGAAACGCGACACACATGTAATCCCTAGATGCACGTACAATAATCTTTCATTTGCAAAGTGCAACAAGTGAGTTCAGCTTTGTGCTTACGAGTTTCCATAGCCTGCGTAACATTCCATTTTTATCTTTTTTTTTTCTTCACGTTGCACACGGCAATCTTTGCCTACGTTTTTCATTTACCTTTTTATCTTTCCATGTTTTACTCCAGTCGCGTCAGATACGAAAGTCTAACAGAGATAGTTTTCTAAAGAAAGGAACATGTGTCGGAGGAAAGCCTTCAAATAGAGATGAAAGGGAACTGAACCTTCGTTAATTTTATCCCTCTTTCTCGTTACGGGAACTGCGGTTTATCTGATCTTCTCCAGGTCTGCACGCTAATTTTCTTTGTTACCGTTCTTTTCATATGCCATCAAATTTTCTCCATGCGTAATTTTAATCTCAAACAAATAAGCAAGATGTGTACGTTTTCAAACATGCATTCGCAGTATACCATTGATTTCCCTCTAGTCTAAATTTTTAGAAGAGTTAAAATATGAATTTACATTTTTATACATGTACGTGGGAAATTTTCCGAACTACTACGCTGTGTAGATGTTTCGAAAAACATATACAAGTTTATAAAATATTTAAAGATTTGAAGAAGAGAGAGAATTATGTGTGTGTTCCTAGAGATTTATGTTGATATTAAATATGGATATATAGGTATAAAAGATATATGGTGAAAAAAGAATATTTTTTTTCGGTTAGTAAGAGAAAATATAATAAAAAGAAGGAAAAGGAAAATAATTAAAAGTCACATTCGAGGAAAAGCCTCAGATATAACTATTTTTCTCTTTCTCCCCCGGCACGCAATTTTTTTCACTCTTAATGCGTTCCCTTCTTTATTCGTTAATCCTTGCTCTCTCTTCTTCTCTTTTAAGATAACTCTTCTGCAACGTCGCCCAGAATTCCTGCGTACGGCAAGAAATTTGCGAAAAAAAAGAGGTACGATGGAACTGCTATGCAAAGAGGACTGGAATTTGTTACCGCCAAGGAATGTGCATATTTTCATTGAGTTTGTCTTAGTCCAAATATTGAATCGATTTACGAAAATATTCGATATTATGTTAAATAACAAATAACAATAAAACAAATTATACGAATAAACAAGACAATTAAAATACAGATGTAATAACAAGAGATATAAACGAATTACTTATTATTGAAATTGATGTAACGCAATTATATCACGAATGGTGTATTTGTATCGTATACAAAATACAATATGTTGATTTAGAAAATCATGTTTTCGCGTAAATATTGAATTAAATGAAAAACAGGAACTGGATTAAGTAGATTATATTTTGGAAATATAAGCTGTATTTTCAAATACATTGCCAATATTGAAAATCTACGTAACGTAAACTAAGGTAAATGTACCAGTTAGTGGACAGTTAATGGACATGATCCAATTTATTGGACAAAGTGATAAAAAAGTTTAAATATTAAGCTTTTAACGATATGTACCATTCTAAATAAAATCGTTATTAAATGTTTATAAACATCAAATTTATTTAGACATATTGTTAAAAGTTATTAATATTTAAAACTTTTATCACTTTGTCCAACAATAGAGTCATGTTCACTAATTGATACATTAACCTTATAGATTTTTAGAACTGACTTTTAGAACTGATTTTTCAGTAATAACGGTGCATATCGGAGTCTATATCGTGGTCTATATCTCCGAAATATAATCTATATAATCTAAATCCTATTTTGTTATATAATTATCACGCGTATATAATATATAAACATATATGAAATTGATACACAATATTGTGTAAAACAAAACTCAATCGTGGCAACTCTCTTTCTCCACAATGCTAAAAATGCTCTGCCAAGAAATGATGAGAAATGATCCCCATCGAATTCTTGGCAGCGCCTTATATCTGCCGGAAGCGGACGATGAGGACCGCTGAGGTTGAAGAACGAAATTGGACTTCCTACGTGCAAGGCGGTACGCAGAACGACCCAGCACTTTGTCACGGATGTGTTTCACATTCATTTACAGATATGCTCACTTCGCATTCCGAATATTAGATTTTGTCTGCCTCGAAAAGAAAGAGAGAGAGAGAGAGAGAGAGAGAGAACTGTACTGTTATTCTATATTATTTAATTTCTATTTGATTAATTTATTTAAATATATGATAAATAAACAGTAATAATATAAAGTATATATGCAAAGCATTAAAGAAAGTTTCAAAATTTTTTATGCGCGTAAAATAATATTTACTGTTTAATTACTGTGTAAATAATGTACATATTATAGAAAAATTCATTCCCCTCATACTGGATTACACAAATAGATTTTTAAAATTAATCACAAAATAGATATTCTCAAAGCATTTCCTGTTTGTTTGTGAACAGTCATAGACTACAACAGTTATTTGAATTCCGGAGATGAGTACAAATATTCGGTATGCGGGTAAAACGTCTTAGATTCAATTTTTCGCAAATGGGTTCTTCGTGGTAGAGTGTAGAGAGAATCTTTCTATATAATATGGCATGAAAATTTGATGCAAAAGAAATTGGATTTAAGCCGTAGTGCGCTGCACCAAACACATTCGTGTATGCGATATATATTGCCCAAAGGAAAGCGCAATGTGTTTTGCTACTCCGACGGTAAACGATATTAACAAACGATAGTACGCGGTCCAATTTTTCACATCTCGACAATTTACAAATTACAGTCAAGTCGTGCGAATCAATCCGCGCGCGGTACGTGGGGAGAAGAGAGAAAGGCACTTCTATTAATACCATAGGGATGAAGAAATTTTTTAACAATTTTTTTTTAACACCGAAATTACAACAACTCTCGATACCATGTCGCTAATGGATTAGTGAAGGCTCGCACGAAGTACCAAGCCAAGTACGCTTCAATTTGCGAAACTCCGCAGTTAATGGACTCGCGCCATAGCGCGAGCTATTAAATTCCGTCACATGTATGCGAAAACGATATACAGAGAGAGAGAGATTTTGTTTACTGCGCGGATTAGCGCAGGTTAGTAACCGGACTTTATTCGCGCATTTAATATCAGCATTGCATCGCGCGCGTATTACTACCGTTTCGTGTCGTCCACGCACACTTATGTCGTCGACGCACTCATCCGATGACATTATTATCGAAAAGCGTTTTACCACGGCAGAGCACGTTCGCTCGCTTTTCGCGGATAAATGTTACGTGTGGCAGCTACACTGCACTACCTATGAGACCGAGGGAAAGCGCAGTACGAGAGAGAGCTCTCCACTCCGCCGTTAAGCGATAATAATAGGCGTTGCACATGTACTTGCAGAGAGACAGAGAGACAGATAGAGAGAGAGTGTATGAGTGAGTGAGAGGTACGATGAGGTCGAGATACATACGCCAACGAGATGCCCAGGAGAAAACAATGCATCCCGCTGTGCACGTCAATGAGACCTGCGGAATCTCGTTAGCGCTCTAAATCCTCCTTTTTTAAGGCCACGATGCATTTCTAGGTTCAAGACACACGTGATATATTCGCGTACCAAGTTTGCATCTGGCGGCCATAATGTCGCTCGTAATGTCTTCGCTATTCAGATAAACCATGTCGCGAATACAAAGTGCGCCCGAAAAAAAATATGTCACAATAGAGTAGAAAAAAATGTTTTTACCGCGAAGACCGTTTAGCGAAAATTCTAATTCTCTTTCCTATTTGTATAAAAATAATAACGTATCGTTTTAAT